AGGATGATCCATGAGCTGCTGTTGGCGCTGAGCGGGTATCCGGGGGCGGCCTTCACCTGGAGCAAGCGCGCTGGCCTGCAGGTACGGGCCGCAGCGGACAACCGGACTGAACCCGGAATCCCGCCCCTCCGTTCCCCTGCCCTCATCGCTTTTTCCCTGCTCAGGTGTCCCAGGAGCTGCCGTTCTTGCACCCCAGCGAGACCAGTGTCTTGAACCGACTCTGCCGCCTCGGCACCGACTACATCCGCTTCGCCGAGTTCGTGGAGCAGTACACGGGGCACGTACAACAGCAGGTGGGGCCGCCGTAGCGCTCCGCTGTGTTTCCCGGGCAGCAGCCGGTCCGGCTGGGCTGCCCCCGGTGCTCGGTGCAGCGAGCTCCGTGCGGTGTGAATAAGGGGGGCAGGCAGAGGGTGGCCCAGATGCAAGATCTGGTCCTTGGAGAAACAAACTGTAATGATTCCTGCAGTGACCAGTGCAGAAATGCTGGTCACGGGCATGCGTGAACTCTACAGGATGCTCATCCCTCTGTTGTAGTGAGTTCTCATGGTTTGTGAGGAGCTTTGAGATCTAAGAAGCGTGCTTAGGTACAAAGAAGCACAGAAATTACCAGTGGTTCCCAGTACTTGCATCTGACCATAAAAGAGCTCAGAATAATTCTGCTCAGGCTGTCTTTGTGGCAAACTACTGTTTTGTTTTTCTGGGTGCTTTCTGGTGGGCTAAAGTGTGTTCCAGGCTGTTTAGACCGCTGGCTGCTGGTGTAACATTGTCTTTACATCTGCACTGGGATGCTGATGTAGATTTCATTGTTTGGTTTCAGGACCATCATCCATCTCAACAAAACCAGAGTGGGTTACATGGCATTTATTTGCGAGCCTTCTGCACAGGTCTTGATTCAGTGCTGCAGCCTTATCGACAGGCACTACTTGACCTAGAACAAGAGGTAAAGGAGAGAGATTTGGAACAAGATGCTGCCCTGCTGCTGACAGGTTGTGGGAAGCTGTCATTTCTGCAATTAATATGCTAACTAATAACAACTAAAGAAGAGATAAAGTATTTTCCTATCCTAATCAGGAATGTCTTCCAGATTATTCCTGTGAGATGCTATTGTAAATGACTCTTCATTCTCATAAATATTAAGCCCACTCTAGCATCAGTTCAGTAAGTACCCCATCTGCCTCAGAGCTCAGTGCTGTCTCAGACTACTGTGACTTCTGTTTTCTGTTGTAAAGGTTTTGATTAATTTCCACTAGATTAGTGGCTGTTTTATATTGGGTACTGTTACCATGCAGTGGTTGTTATACTCTAAAATGGGACATAGCCCAAAATATGGGGGGGGGAGGAGAGGAAGAGGAGGGGAGCTGTGGGAATGGAAGATTTGGAATAGAGAGGCAAACATGATTTTTTACTTAACTGTACTTGATTTTAATTTTCATGAACTGCTTTGTTGTGCTTGCAGTTTCTGGCTGACCCTCATCTTTCCATCTCACATGTTAATTATTCCTTGGATCAGGTATGTCATATTAATAAAGAGGTAGTGCTCTCCGGTTACTCTTATCACTCCCCGGGGTCTAATAAGAAAGTGGGTAGGGTAGATAATGGTTAGTCTGTCATGTCATGCCATTTCTTTTTAGCACCTCTACATTTGTAGTCCCTTAATCATGCTCAGAGGATCACTTGCACTTTGACACAAAGCTTAGGTCTTCTACCTTGTCCCTCACATATTCCTCACAGCTTGTGTTTAGCCTGAACTGCAGCTAGAATGTAGTAACTTCCTGAATCTTGGTCCAGTAGAGGGAGAACATACTTCCTAGAGATTTTCATGTCATCTTTCTAACTTGTGTGGAAAGACAGATGATAGCTTAATTAAATTATTGTAAGTAGCTGCTGTCCACACTTACTCACGTATAGTTTCTTTCTCTCCCTTGCATAGCAACCTAATTCAATATTTGGTTCCTTGTTCTGCAGTTTCAGTTACTCTTCCCTTCTGTGATGGTCATGGTGGAACAGATCAAGACTCAGAAGGTACAGTAAAATTGTAGCTAGTTTCTCTTGACAAGTTTCCTCTTTAGCTGATAAAGTTCTTTCTGCCCCCACTGCAGACCTTTAATACTAGGCAAGAATGTGGTTTCAGTAATGGATGCCATATTCCCAGTACTACTCTAAGTACTGAATAACTAATTTGCAAATCCATTTACCCTGTATTTGACTTTTTTATTATCAGTATGGTCTTTGATGACTTGAATCACACTACGCTTCATAGCATGAGATGCTGCTGGATGGAACTTCTTCTCTTTTTTCTCCCACTGTCACTTGGCGGGGGGGAAGGCAGAACTGATGTTTTCAATCCAGTGATGAATAGGCGGCCTCATTCTTCACTGCACAGAGCATGTTACATCTTTCTTTCTCTAAGACTTGTGCAGCTTGTTATGACATTTTCCTGTTAGCAGAAAGCACAGCGTTTAAATGTCTGAAAAGGTCAGTACAGATCGAAATAACAGATCTAGTCTAACCATGTTTTCTTTCTGCAGATTCATGGATGTCAGATACTAGAGACAGTCCACAAACATAGCTGTGGGGGGCTGCCTCCTGTTCGCAGTGCTCTTGAAAAGTATGTAGATACAATAAAGCTGTTATTTCATTCTTCTGTAGTAACTGCAGTTAGTGTCAAAGTGTTTATCTTGTAAAAACAGTACGATAATTTAAGATACAGTACGATACATGCAAAACAGGCTTGCATGATATAAAGTAGAAGTGGCATGCAGGGAAAACTGTCATAGTCCCTATTTTTTATCTAAAGCAGACTTGTGACAGGAGTTAAGGCTTTCTCCATACTTTGGACTTAGGGCTGAGGAAGGTTAGGACCCTGTGTTGTTTTCTTCTTTGGAGGTCTACATGAACTGTTCTGCATATGGTAGACCTGTTACTGTGTTTTGATCCTTCAAAAAACCAGTGAGTGTTGCTAGGTTTGTATGTCCTTGGGGAGAAAGCTATATTGCTTAAGAGGTAATCTGTGATCATGCTGAAATGGTAACTGAGCAGGAACTGCAGGACTGGAAAGCTACTGCAAGCTTATTGAGACATCTGGTGTAGGAGCAGACACCTGTGGAAAAGCTGCGTATTCAGAGGATATGTTGGTTTAGTTTTGCAAGTGCTTGGTCCACCTTCCTCTAAAAAAAAAAAAGAAATTGCACATTAGCCATTTAGCACTTGCCATAATGCCTGACTGGACTTTCCAGAATGAGGTTCTGATTTCTGTGTGTAAAAGCCTCACTGTGCTGCTTTTGACCACAGGATTCTGGCTGTGTGTCATGGAGTCATGTATAAGCAGCTCTCTGCCTGGATGCTGCATGGATTGCTACTAGATCAACATGAAGAGTTTTTTATCAAACAAGGCCCCTCTTCTGGGAATGTCCCTAGCCAACCTGAAGAAGATGATGACGACCTAGGAATTGGGGGCCTTACAGGAAAACAGCTACGTGAACTGCAGGACTTGGTAAGACTGCAATGCAAGCCATAGCTTGGCATCCTTTGGTCCCTAGGGCACTAAAGAATACATTTTCTTCTGCTTCAGTGTGAGCTGTGCTGGACTGGACATATACTGAGACCTGGTAGGATGGGAAATCAACAGAATATTGTAATAGGTTGCATTTAGAGACATACCATTTGGCACAGTTGCATAATCTTGGGTAGGAAGCCGTGTGGGTGGAATCTGTGACAGTGTTATCAATTAATTGGAACTGCTGTATTCACCCTGCTCTTGACTGACTCTTTTCTGCTTCCTTATGGCCGACACTCTGATCTGCTCAACACAGGCACTGGTGGTAGTGTGAGCAATTGCAAGGCAAAGGTTGTGGGGAGCTTGGGTGCTGACTTGTTTTGCACCCTATTGGCAGCTGGGTCAGGTACCTTTGTTGCACAAGCATTGGTTGTGCATAGGTTGCCTAACAGGGTCATGACATTACTGGAGAAAAATGTGCTTTGTGAGAGTCAAGAGGCTGCTAAGAGTATGTCCGGAGTGTGAATTCAGGGAGCAACCTGCCACTGTACTGAGGAAATGCAGTAGCTCCTCACATAAATGGCATACCATTAGAATGTTCTTGTGCAAAGCAGCTTAATGGAGTAATCTTACACACTTTGTGCATCTGAATAGTGTCTACATCATGGACAAGTGAGGAGCAACTGCAACTCTGTAAATTCACACGCTAGTTTACTGCAAGAAAGTGTTTCATGGGCACCCATGGTGTTAGTGTGCTGCTTGCAACTTGGTGATAAACACACAGAATATTCACCCTCAAAACACACTGCTTTGCCCAGTACAAAGAGTCTCTGCTGAGGACAAGACTACACACAAAAGCAAAAACACTACAAGGCAAAACCATGAAAACTAAAGGCAGTTAGTGAAAAAATCTGTTATTTCATTATATTGGATATAGGAAGAATGAAAACTGGCACATCTTCTAGATCCATGGTGGAAAATACAGGCATTTAGAAGATGACACCGAGAGCGCCTAATTACCTTTCTTCTTCAGTATTATTGACTAAGTGTTGGCAATTCTTCAGTGAGTGTTAATGGGATAGGCCACTAAAATACTTGGGTATTTCCTCATCTAAAAGTGTTAGAAAAATCTTAAGAAAAATAACTGCCAAGCTGTTAATATCAGCACAAAACTCAGACTGAACTCTCCCATAGAATGAATTCTGCAGATGGCAAACATGCTCAAAAATTTGTTAGCACAATGTCTTTTGGATTATGGACTCTTGCCTCTGTACTCAGAGTTCTTTACTAACACATTCAGAAAAAAATTAATTACTTAGTGTAGTGTTTTAAATGCCTCTTGCAGGAACTGAGAGAATTGCCTACTTTATGCTAGCAAGCCTTCAGATCTTTAACCTATTTGCTTTCTAGTGGAAGTGCTTACATTTGGCCCATATCATAAGTGTTCTAGCAGCGTTGAAACATACAGGAATGGGTGTAGGGGAGGCTTGTTTTGGGGAGTGCTAATGAACATTGTTATGGCTGCAAAAAACCTGATGTAGTGCAGTTGCACAAAATTCCTTTTGCTGATGTAACATTATCCTTTGGGAGAGCCAATTTGCTGCTATTCCATAAAGGTTTAGCTTCTCCGTTTCTGACTTCTGCTCCCCACTCTGATGAAAGTAACTTGTTCTCTAGGGAGATCTGCTAGCATACGAGAAGTATAAAGAAGTTTGCAGGCTTACTTAAATAATGCAAATCAAGTTTGTTACCTTTCTGCTTACTTCCAATGTACTTGGATTCCTACTCTCACACCCCTCCATCCTTTTATATACCTTTTCTATCTGGTTTTCTCACACTTTTTTGTCTTTCCCCCCCCTCCCCAATCACGGGGTCTCTGACAGCGCTTGATTGAGGAGGAGAACATGTTAGCTCCGTCTCTGAAACAGTTTTCTCTGCGAGTAGAAATGCTGCCCTCGTACATTCCTGTGCGGGTTGCTGAGAAAATCCTTTTTGTGGGAGAATCCGTACAGATGTTTGAGAATCAAAATGTTAACCTGACCAGAAAAGGTAAGGAACATCTTTGTTGTGTCCTTTGCTCGGTTATGAGTGACTGACATGTTCCAAAATGCTATATTAACAAATTCCTCAACAGTCACTGACTACTGGCTGATACTGTTCAGAACATATGGATGGTTGTGCCTTGGCAGAGCAGTGGTCTCAGTGTTCTGATTGGTTCCAATGGAGCAGTATAAGAAGAGGATGAGTAAATAATAATACTACTTTCCAGACATAGTCTCAAAGTTTCCAGCAGTGAGTCACCACGTGATTTGCTTTGGATAAATAAAGCCGTGTTTTCTTTTCAGTTTGCATCCTCATCCCTGACAGGTGCAGACAAGACACGAGGGCACATCTTGCTCTGAGTGTGTAAGTTTGAAAGTGGTGTCATATGATTAAAATGCATCCACAAACATAAGAGATTCATTGCAAGGTGGTTCCAAAGGTTGCTGTGGAAAACAGATGAATAAGATTCTTTTTTAAGACAGCAAGAGAGAGACAGTTCCAGCTGATGCCTGAGAAGTTTACATAGGAGATGGTTTTCAAATATATTCCTATACCATTTGGGGAGTACTGCTGTGGGGAGTTGAGTGACATTGCAGAGAACAATGGACCAATTAAATTAGACTGTTTTCTTGCCTTAAAAGAAGTGAATTGAAAAGAAACTGGTCTTCTAGCTTAGCTGGTCTAAAAATATACATCCCCAAGTTCAAGCAGTAGGTAGATTTGAAAGGGGTGGGGGTAGGTGGAGAACCAAATTAACTGCTTAATGTAGCAAAAAAGTTGTGGTTCAAAGATCTAGCTCAATTCTAGAAAAAAGGGCTGTAAGTGGCAGTCATTTACATAGAAAATATTTGAGTTTTTTACTGATACCACAGCACTGTTATGGCAAGTATCTATACTGTAACTGTGCTTGCAATAGTGATCTTGTAGCTTGGTACTTGCACTTTGAGGCCTCCTCAGCTTCACATTTCTCACCAGACCTGAGATGATGCTGCCTGGACAGTCTTTCTGCCCCATGGTGCTGGAAGGGGTCTGCACTTCTCCAAATGGTATTCCTTTTCATTGTCCAAAACACTACT